GCTTCTGCTGCTGCTGCACCAAGAAATCTGCTTCTGTTATACCAGCATTTGCTGCAGTAGCTCCTCCATCATCATCATTATCATCATCATCATCTGTTGCTGCTCCTGTTGCTGTTGCTGCTGCTGCTGCTGCTGCTGCTGCTGTAGGTTTAGACCCCCGTGTCTTTGCCTTTTTTTGCGGGGGTCCATCATGAGTTGTCTCCCTTCCTTTACGTCGATCCCCCTTCTGCTGCTGCTGTTTCTGCTGCTGCTGTTTCTGCTGCTGCTCTTGTTGCTCTTGCTGCTGTTGCTCTTGCTGCTGTTGCTGCTGCTGCTGCTGCTGCTGGTCTACCTGTCGTGCCTTGGCGTCATGTAGATAAATAAGATTACCTCTAAATGGTAATCTTTCTGTTGCTCTCTCAAATGCTTCGACCTGCTCTCTACTCTCAAAGTCCCTACACAGCAGCAGCAGCAGCAGCAGCAGCAGCAGCAAATGCATGCAGATACACAGTTAGTAAATGCAAAAGGTGCAACACATACTACTGCTTCAGCAGACTCTGTTATGCAGCAGCAGCAGCAACAGCAGAAAACACAAGGGCTCAGCAGCATATGCAGATTATTTGCTGCAAGCAGCAACAAGTCCTACCAAAGCACTCGCTACAGCAGCAGCAATAGCAGCAGCAGCAGCAACAGCAGCAACAGCAGCAGCAGATGTCTTACAGGAATCCCCAAGCAGCAGGAGGCACTTTATCAAGGGAGACAAAGGGGAGGTTGTTGTCACGCTGCAGCAGCAAACACAAGACACAAAAACTCCATACAACTGTAAATGCTGGAGCAGCAGCAGCAGCAACAGCAGCAGCAGCTGCAGCAGCAGACTAACCATCCACTTTTCTATGACTTCCGCCTTGTTGCGTCTCCAACTCTTGCATGTTGCGTGCCTCCTCACCAACCCCTTCTTGTCTGCTGCTGCTGCAGGTGGTGCAGCAGCATCTGCTGCAGTTGCTGCTGAAGGTGCAGCAGCAGCAGCAGCATGGTCTCCTTGTGCTGCTGCAGCATCTGCTGCTGCTGCTGCTGCAGCAACAGATCCTGTTGCGGCTGCTGCAGCCCTTGATCGCGTCATGACCTGATGCTGTGATCTGGGGGCCAAGGTGACCTTCAGTAGCAACGCTTGCTGCGGTTGCTGCTGCTGCTGCGGCTGCAGCTGCTGCAGCAGCGGCTGCTGCTGCTTGATTGAGGAAGCGAGGTAGAAGCAGCAGCTGTACGTACACTGCAGCAGGACGTAGAAGACAAAGAGAACATGTGCCTTAATTAAGTGCTGCTGCATGCGCAGCCTGCTGCAGCAAAACCCCAGTGAATCCTAGTAGTAGTAGATCTGCTGCTGCTGCTGCTGCTGCTGCAGCAAGATCCTATGGTCAGGTGTATGCACAGCAACCTCACTTAAACAAACAAACAACAGCAAAAAAGAATAAATTTGCTGTTTTCTTTCCCTTGTGCTGCAGCACGGTGTTTACCATCGATGCTGCTGCTGTTTGCTGCTGCTGCTGCTGCTGCTTCCAGCGCATGCAGCAGCAGCAGCGGCTTTGGCAGCAGCAGCTGCTGCTGCTGCTGCACGGGAGAACGTGCATAAGACAAAAATAATAATAAATAAAAGAAGAATTATTGGTTGCATGCAATTCAGGTGTATATACACATCTTTAATATAAATAAGGGCAAATATTAGTCTGCCGCTGCTGCAGCAGCAGCAGCAGCAGCAGCAGGAACCACCAACCCCACCGGAAGGTCCTGCATGAGCAGCAGCAGCAGCAGCAGCAGCAGATTCTTTTTTATGCCACACCACCACCCTGTATTATACACACCTTTATCTGGGCTTTTTTAATTACATTTCGTCAGCAGCAGCAGCAGCGGCTCTTATTGCCTGTGCTGCTCCTGCTGCTGCTGCTGCTCCTGCTGCTGCGGCTTCGGCCGCATGCAACGTACAGTTCGGGTGTATCTGCAGGGTATTGCATAACAAACCCTTCCTCTATAGCAGCAGATATTGCTGCTACTTTAATACACCTGAATCCCTGCTGCGGCTGTTGCTGCTTCAGTAGCAGCAGCAGCAGCAGCAGCGCTGCGGCTATCGTCGATGTTGCAGCATTATATACAACTGCTGCAGCAACAACAGCATAAAAGGCCGTCTGTGACCTCCTGCTGCACGTTTTGCTGCTAGACCAACAACAACAACAGCAGCAGCAAGAGACACAACAACAGCAGCAGCAGCAACCGCAGCAGCAGCAGCAGCAGCCATGCGAAGCGCATGCAACCCATTACAGGGGGCCTAGCGGCCTGTCTACCTTGAGGTGTACAGACAGGTAGTAAAGATGGCCCATATGGGTTGCATACAGCAGCAGCGGCTGCAGCAGCAGCAGCGGGTGTGTGTGCAGCAGCAGCAGCAGCAACAGCAGCAGCAGAAGAGGCACCGACAGCTACATTTGCCTTCTTCAAAATGTTTATGCAGATCTATTGGCAGCATATTGCTGCTGCTGCTGCTGCTGCTGTGTGTCTGTTGCTGCTGTGGCTGGACAGCAGCAGCAACACCCAAGAGACCATTCAAGCGGATGCTGCTGAATGCGCCTCTCCCTGCACACAGCAGCAGCACCTGGTGCAGCAGCAGCAACTGCAGCAGCAGCCGCAGCAGCAGCACCGCCTTCCTTGGTAGTCCTATGCAGCAGGGAGGAGGCCCTGACAGCAGCTGCGTATACACCGCAGCAGTAAGGCGCAAATTTTCTCCAGCAAAATCTTCCCCCGTTGCTGCCCCTGCTGCTGCTGCTGCTGCAGTGGGGCCCCACCGGCTTCCTAGTAGACTTCGTCTTGCAGCGGCACAAGAATATGCCCCTGAGGACAGCAGCAGCAGCAGCAACAGCAGCAGCAACATGAACAGCGACAGCAGCAGCACTGCACCATTAGGATCTAACGACAGCAACAGCAGCAGCAACAGCAGCAGCAGCAGCAGCAGCATCACGAAGCCTAGACGGGGTCGTCCATCTCCCTTTGTCTCCCCTTTACTGCAGCAACAGCAGCAACAACAACAACAGCAGCAACTGCAGCAGCATCAGCAGCAGCAAGAAATGATATTCGATCCATCGTATAGCGTCCCTCCATACTACAACAACACGAACCTGAACAGCAGCAGCAGCAGCAGCATTAGCAGCAGCAGCAGCAGCATTAGCAGCAGCACTGTAAGTATAAACAACAGGAATACGTTATCACCCATCAACAGGATCCCCTCTTTATTACCAATGCAAATAAGCAGCAAGAACAACAACAGCAGCAGCAGCAAAAGAAATAATACACCATATGTATCTTATTATTGTAATTTGTATGGAATAAATGAATTACGTAACTATATTAGAAAAAAAGGTTTAATTTTTTCAGAAGACGAAAATAAATTTACAATTCTTTTCTGTCCATTCTGTCCTCCTCATAGAAATAAAAAAGATAATTTAAATAAACTTTTTTTCTTTAAGCCTTCAGGTAATTATTATTGTCATAGATGTAATTATAAGGGTACTCTATTTGATTTCAAGATTAAGATGGGGGATATAAGTAGCAGCAGCATTATTACCACCAGCAGCAGCAACAGCAACAGCAGCAGCAGTTGGAGCGGTGAAGGAGACGGTTCTGGTGATGGGTTTGGGTATATGCAGCAGCAGCAACAGCAGCAGCAACAAATTCTTGCTAATGCTGCTGTAGGTACTAGGGATGCATATAATAGGATACAGCAGCAGCAGCAAAGGATGCAGCAGCAGCAACAATCTCTTGATATATATGCTAAGAATCTTGCTGCTGCTGCTGAAGCTGCTGCTGCTGCTGCTAGGGGAGAGAGCAGCAGCAGCAACTATCCTGTTGATGAATGTCATATGCGAGTACTTAAATACTTAACAGAGAAAAGAGGAATTAAAGTAGAGACTGTAAGATGCTCCTGCTGCTGCTGCTGCTGCTGCTGCTGCTGTTGCTGCTGTTGCTGCTGTTGTTGTTTGTCTTGCTGTTGCTGCAGTGGTTGTTTGTGCTGTTGTTGGTGTTCTTGATGTTGCTGCTGCTGTTGCTGCTCTTGCTGTTAATGGTGCGATGCTTATCTTGTCCTGGCGCTTCTTACTTTTGCCCCTGCTGCTTGTCCTGTTGCTGCTGCTGTTGTTGCTGTTGCTGCTGCTGCTCCTGTGTCTCTGCAGCTGTTGGAGTTTGGTGTTGGTTGTGGGGTTTTCTACTTCCCTCCTGCCAGTGGTGATGGCCCGTAAGTTTGCTGCTGCTGTTGCTGCTGCTATTGCTGCTGCTGTTGCTGTTGCTACTACAGCTGCTGCTGTTGCTGCTGTTGCTGCTGCTGCATAAGAGGAAAGGTATTTATATTTATATTCTCCCTCCAATCTATTAAGCAGCAAAAAAATAAAATATTCATCTGCTGTTGCTGCTGTTGCTGCTGCTGCAGACGTGAGCCTCACTGCTGCGTGACGTTCCCATGGACTCCTGCTACGCACCCTTCAGCAGCAGCAACAGCAGCAGCCGCAGCAGGCTCATCAGCAGCAGCAGCACGTCCTAAGCCCGTACGTATAAAGGTGCGAAGCATAGATGATAAGAGTTGCATGCGCCTCGAGCCTTTTGGGGCTGGCGCTGCTTGGGGTCTATTTGGTGCTGATGTTGTCTTAAGACAAATAGAAAAGAGCAGCAGCAGCAGCAGCAGCAGCAGCAGCAGCAACAGCAGCAGCAGCAGCAGCACTCGCAGCAGTGGACCGGGACGGAGAAAGAGCAAAAGCACGAGTGACACAGCAGCAGCAGCAGCAGCCTCTGCTGCTTCTGACCCATCGTCTGCTGCAGCAGCATCAGGGGGATCAGAATTCACAGGAGCAGCAGATGCAGCAGGATCAGCAGCAGCAGCAGCAGCAGCAGCAGGCAGTGTAATATGTATAGCAGAAGGGGAGTTCGATGCTATGTCTATATGGCAGGAGACAGGTGTCCCTACTGTCTCCGTCCCCTTAGGGGCTAACAGTTTACCACCACAATTACTCCCTTTCTTTGAGAGATTTAGATCTATTTATCTAGTATGTCTCCTTCTCCTGCTGCTGCTGCTCCTGCTGTTGTTGTTGTTGTTGTTGTTGCTGCTGCTGCTGCTGCTGTTGGTGGTGGTGGTGCTGCTGCTGTTGATGCTGCTGCTGCTGGAGTCAAGATATATCACGATTAACAAAAGAGGAGTGTAGTGATTCTTCCTTCTTCGCTGCTGCTGCTGCTGCTGCTGCTGCTGTTCTTTATGTTATATATGCTATTCATGCCCCTGCCCTTGCTGCTGCTGCTGTTGCTGCTGCTGCTGTTGCTGCTGCTGCTGCAGTGGTTCGATGAGGACCGTGCCGGTAGAGAAGGTGCAGATCTATGGGCATCTAAGTTGGGTATAAGTCGTTGTCACCTCGTTCGCTGGACAGACGTGTTGCTGCTGCTGCAGCAGCAGCAGCAACAGCAGCAACAGCAGCAGCAGCAAGACGACCATCAGGAGAATAAGGAGAATAAGGAGAATAAGGAGGACATGTTGCTGCAGATACCTAAGGATGCTAATGAGTGTCTCCTGCTTGGTTATGATATAAATATGTTGTTATTATCCTCAAGAAGAATTCCTCATCAACAGATCCTTACCTTTCATGATCTAAGGTCTAAAGTATTACATGAGTTATTAGAGCCAGGTAACCTGCTGCTGCTGCTGCTGCTGCTGTTGCTGCTGCTGCTGCTGATGTGGTGGTGGTGGTGGTGGTGGCTTGTTGCTGGTGCTATTTGCGTTTTTCTTGTTGGTTGCTGCTGCTGCTGATTCTGCTGCAGCAGCAACAAGGGGACTACAGAGTGTCACTCTCCCTGCCTTCACCTCCATATTAGGTACGTACAAGCAAACACAGCAGCAGCAGCAGCAGCAGCAGCAAGACCAGCAGCAGCAGCAGCAATAAGAGCTGCAGCAGCAGCAGGTGGAATATGAATAGTATCTAGTTGCTGCTGCTGTTGCAGCAGCAACACCATAGTCACAAATCTGGTGCTGCTGCTGTTGCTGCTGCTGTTGCTGCTGCTGTTGCTGCTGCTCCTCCCCCTACGTCCTTTAAACGGCACAAACTCTTGGAGCTGCTGTTACTGCTACTCTTGCTGCTATTGCTGCTGCTGCTGCTGCTGCTGCTGCTGCAGGAGGCTTTAGACGCGGCGAACTAAGTGTATGGACAGGAGGAACAGGGGTAGGTAAGACAACAGCATTATCTCAATTATCTCTTGATTTCTGTGCACAAGGAATACCTACACTATGGGGATCCTTTGAAGTTAGTAATGTTAGGTAAGAATTATTTCCTGCTGCTGCTGCTGCTGCTGTTGCTGCTGCTGCTGCTGCTCCTGTTGCTGCTTGTGCTGGTGGTGATGGTCGTGGTGGTCATGGCTGTGGGTTTGTTGCTGCTGCTGTTGCTGCTGCGGTGGAGAGACAAGTTGCTCTTTTTCTGTACTTCTAATTCTCCTCCTCTCCTGCTGCTGCTGTTGCTGTTGCTGCTGTTGCTGCTGCTGTTGCTGTTGCTGCTGCTGCAGGCTACTACGTATGATGTTATTACAATTTAGTGGTGGTGCAGCAGGAGACAATCATCAATCTTTTGTTCGTGTTGCTGATTCTTTCTCTCAATTACCCCTATGGTTAATGAGGTTCCATGGATCTACTAATGTTGATGAAGTAAGGAGACACTTATTTATTGTCTCCCTTTTTTTTGTCTCCTTTTTGTCTCCTTTTTGTCTCCTTTTTTGTCTCCTTTTTCTGGCTCCTTTTTCTCTCCTTTTTGTCTCCTTTTTGTCCCCTTTTTTGTCTCCTTTTTGTCTCCTTTTTTTTGTCTCCTTTTTTTTGTATCCCTTTCTGTCACCTTTTTGTTTCCTTTTTGTCCCCTTTTTTTGTCTCCTTTTTTTATTGTTTCCTTTTTTATTGTCTTTTTTTTTCTCCGTTATAGTGTCTCTCTTTTACTGTCTACTTTTTTTGGCTCCTCTTTGTCTCCTTTTCTTGTGTCCTTTTCTGTCTCCCTCCCTGTCTCTATTTCTATCTCTCTTTCCCCCTATTCCTCCTCCCTCTCCTCCTCCACCCCCTGCACCTCCTCCACCTCCACCTCTTCCCCCACCTGTTGCTGTTGCTGCTGCTGCTGCTGTTGCTGTTGCTGTTGCTGCTGCTGCTGCTGCAGGTCTTAGATGCCATGGATTATGCAGTATATGCTCATGACGTAGGACATATAATAATAGATAATTTACAATTTATGCTTTCTTGCCAATCTAAATTAAATGATTCTTGGGATTTACAAAATGCAGCTATTGCTGCATTCAGACAATTCGCTACTTATAGAAATGTACATATTTCTATTGTTGTACACCCAAGAAAAGAGGTATAAACCCTAAACCCTAAACCCTAAACCCTAAACCCTAAACCCTAAACCCTAAACCCTAAATACTATAAATTAGAAATATTTTTTATAGGTTATACACTCTAGTTGCTGCATTCAGACAATTCGATACTTATAGAAATGTACATATTTCTATTGTTGTACACCCAAGGAAAGAGGTATAAACCCTAAACCCTAAACCCTAAACCCTAAACACTAGAAATTAGTAATATTCTAGGTAATGTAGTTGAGGTATTCAGAAATATTCCCTACCTATAGAAATGTACATATTTCTATTGTCGAACACCCTAGGAAAGAGGTATAAACCCTAAACCCTAAACCCTAAACCCTAAACACTAAAAATTTCACAAATTGTTGTACAACACAAAAAAGACGTAACACAAGCCCTAAACCCTAACATAAATATCTCCAATATAAACCCTAATATAAACCCAACCGTAAACACTAATAGCGCCCGTGCTGGTCTAGCTGCTGCTATTTCCGTTGCTGCTGTTGCTGCTGCTGCTGCAGGATGACGACGTTCCTCTTGGTTTATCTTCTGTCTTTGGTAGTGTAAAATCAACACAAGAAGCAGACAATGTTATTATCCTGCAGCGGCAAGTAGCAAAGGGTTCCTCGCGTCTTGATCAGCAGCAGCAGCAGCAGCAGCAGGAGTTACTGCAGCAGCAGCAACTGCAGCAGATGAGCCCTAGCAGACACAAGCAGCGCCGCATGCAATATTCCCTAGAGATAAGAAAGAACAGATTCTCTGGGGAGTTGGGATCGGTTCCCTATGTATTCGATCCCCGATCCCTTCTTATGCGTGTAAGCAACAGCAGCAGCACCAACAGCAGCAGCAGCAGCAGATGCTGTTGCAGTAGAACGAGCAGCAAGAAGATATTGAGCATCATTAGCTGCTGCAGCTCCATGTGTCTCTTTGTCTCCTTTTGCTGCATGTGTGCATACAGACACGGCTGCCATCTGGTCGCCAAGAAGGCAGTGGGGAGCAGCAATCAGAAGCAGCAGCAGCAGCAGCAGCAGATGGTGCTGCTGCTGCTGCTAAAGGGGGACTGGGTGACTTCGGTCTAAGCAACAACACAAAAGATGCAGCATTTAGAATCCCCCGCGAGCAGCAAACCCTCATGAGCATGTACGTCTCCCTGGCAGCAGCAGCAGCAGCAGGAGTAACAGCAACAGCAGCAGCAGCAGCAACAGGGAGGGGTATATGCATGCTTTGCTGCTGTGGCGTCTCCTTGTGTCTCCTTTGCAGGTTTACCCCTCGAGGTATTTTGTCTCCTGGTGTTAATACAGAGGAAAGGAGACAAAGGGGACTGCTGCAGCAGCAGCTGCAGCTGTCGCGGCGTCAGACAAGTAGAGGAGGACCTGCTGCTGCTGCTGCTGCTGCAGGTGCTTCTGCTGCTCCTGCTGCTCCTGTTCCTGCACTCATTCCCATTAAACCGCATTCGCCTGCTGCAGCACCAGAAGGTGCTGCTGCTGCTGCTGCAGCAGCAGCAGCAGCAGAACAGAAAGCAGAAGCAAGTCATTCAGCTTCACCACCAGTAGCAGGAGGAGAAACCGCAGCAGTACCGACACCAGCAGAACCAGCAGCAGCAGCAGCAGCAGGAGACACTGCAGCAGCTGGTGTTGCACCTCCACCTCTTGAACTATCAGAGGACCTGCCTATAGCTGTGCTGAGGGAGATTGCTGCTGCACTGCCGCTGCAGCAGCCAATAAAGACGGCAGGAGCAGGAAGGACGAAGCTGCTGCTGCTGCAGGATTTGCATGCAGCAGCAGATGCAAGCCCCAGGATTAAAGCCTATATACAACGCATGCTGCAGCAGCACCAACGCATGCAGCAGCAGAAACAGCAGCAGGAGCAACAGCAGCAGCAGTTGAAGGACGCTGCAGCGGCAGCAGGATCCAATGGCACTGACGAACAGTCTGCAGCAGCAGGAGATGCTGCTGCTGCTGCTGATGGCAGCAGCATAGAGTCAGTGGCTCCTCCTTCGCCTCCTCTTACCCGTTCGGTCCCTTTGCTGCAGTACCTAGAGGAGCACGGCAGCAGCTATGCTGCAGCAGCACGTGCCTATCAGCAGTCTGTAAGAGAAGCAGCAGCAACACGGAAAACGGAGACCGATGCTCCTGCTGCTGCTGCTGGTGCTGATGCTGCTGCTGCTGCTGATGGTTTGGGGTCTACAGCAGACAGCTCGGATTCGTCAGCTCCGGCCGCAGACTCTTCGGCGGCACCCTTGCCCCCCAACAACAGCAGCAGCAGCGACAGCAGCAGCAGCAGCAGCAGCAAGGAGGATGATGAGGTGTATGTACAGGTACCAATAGATGTATCTGATGGTCGTTTATCCGCTGATTATGTATTAATAGATTCAGCAGCAAAAGCGCAGCAAATAGATGCGCTGCTGCTGCATTTGCTGCAGTTCTTAGAGAAGACTGCTGCAGAAAGAAAGCAGCAGAAGGAACAGCAGCAGCAGCAGCAGCAGCAGCAGCAGCAATTGAATCCTGATTGGCAACCAGAAGCTGGGGTGTATAGACAGCCTGAGGGATTAATCGCCATGGGCCTCGATGTAGAGACAACAGGATTAGATCCAAGAACATCACAACTAAGGTAAAATACCCTGCAGCAGCAGCAGCAACAGCAGTAGCAGCAGCAGCAGCAGCAGCAGCAGCAGTAGGAACCACACACCATTAGTCCCTCTTATAGTGACACCATCAGAAGAAGCACCCACCATAATAACACACCCACCACCAGCACCAGCACCACCACCACCACCACCAGCACCAGCACCAGCAGCAACAGCAACAGCAGCAGCAGCAGCAACAGCAGGAGCAGCAACTCATGTATGTATATATATGCTATGGTGCAGACTAATACAGATATCCTTACCTGAATTACCTTGTATAATGTATGATGTATGGAGACTAAGTGTCTCCTCATTAAGAGGTTTGCTGCTGCTGCTGCTGTCTCCTTTTATTATTAAAGTTATGCATAATGCTAAATTTGATCTATCTTTCTTATCTCAATTCCTTCTTGCTCATCAACAGCAGCAGCAGCAGCAGCAGCAGCAGCAGCAGCAGCAGCAACAGCAGCAACAGCAGCAACAAGACAAGTATAGCACTTCTCCAACCCCAACAACAACCGCCACAATCCCCACAACCACCAGCAGCAACAGCAACAGCAACAGCATCAGCAGCAGCAGCAGCAGCAGGAAGGAGGATGAGGATACAATAGAGAAAAGATCATATAAATATGCAAGAATAATAAGTAATATATTAGGAGGAATAAGTCCCCCTTTCTTTGATAGTTTATTAGTTAGCCGTTTATTAGCAGCAGGAGAAATAAAAAAAGGGTTTAGTCTTAGGCATATAACAGAAAGATATTTGCTGCTGCTACTAGATAAACGCATGCAAAATAGTTATTGGGGAGCACAACAACTGCAACAAGAACAATTACTTTATGCAGCAAGGTACGATTCATTATTATCTACCCTAAACCCTAAACCCTAAACCCTAATTTCTAGGAGGTCAGGGGTGTATTTCTATGTATAATAAGGTATATTAACCCTAAACCCTAAACCCTAAACCCTAAAAAAGGGTTTGAATGGCTATATCAAGTGAGTATATCCTTATCCTGCTGTTGTTGCTGCTGTTGCTGCTGCTGCTGCTGCTGCTGCTGCTGCAGGGATGCTGCTGTTTTGCTCCCTTTGCATGATTGTTTACAAAGGAAGCTGCAGCAATATCAATTACTAAGAGCAGCAGATCTTGAACACCGTACACTACCTGCAGGTAAACCCTAAACCCTAAACCCTAAACCCTAAACCCTAAACCCTAATTCTTAGATGGTTATATATAGATGAGGAGTTGGAGATTTTCTTATTGAAGCTTCATATACCTATATGACAACCATTTGCTGCTGCTGCTGCTGCTGCTGCTGCTGCTGCTGCTGCTGCTGCTGCTGGTGCAGTTGTTGCTATGGAGAGTGCAGGTATGGCGTTGGATACAAAATGCTGGCATAATTTAGCAAATAGATTACGTGATGAGCAGCAGCAAGCAGCAGATTTGCTGCTGCAGCAGCTAGGGGAGACAAAGGAGACACTTAATCTTAATTCACAGAGACAGATGTTAGATGCATTAAGAAGGATTGGTGTATCCCATAGACCAGGAGCAAAACAGCTACCTCCTCCTAATAAACCAGCAGCAGCAGCAGCAGGAGAAGCAGCAGCAGAAGCAGCAGAAGGTGCAGCAGCAGCAGCAGGAGCAGAAAATGATGAAAATGACGACTCAGAAGCTACAAAAACAGCAGCAGCAGCAGCAGCAGCAGCAGTAGGAGCAGCAGGAACAGAAACAAAAGGAGATCCATATATAATAAGAGACACAGGAGATGATACATTATCTGCATTAAATAATTTTCCTGCTGTTGCTGCACTAAGAAGTTATAGAAAAGTATCCAAGGCTGTCTCTGCATTTGTTGATCGTCTTCCTCTATATATTAATCCTGCTACTGGTAACTCTCTCCTTTTTCTTTTCTCTCCTTTTTTTTGTCTCCTTTTCTTGTCTCCTTTTTTTGTCTCCTTTTTTTGTCTGTTTTTTGTGTCTCCTTTTTTTGTCTCCTTTTTTCTTTTTTTTGTCTCTTTTTTTTGTCTCCTTTTTGTCTCCTTTTTTTGTCTCTTTTTTTGTCTCTTTTTTTTCTCCTTTTTTGTCTCTTTTTTTTCTCTTTGTTTTTGTTTCCTTTTTGTGTCTCCTTTTTTTGTCTCCTTTTCTTGCCTTTTTCTTGTCTCCTTTTTTTGTTTCCTTTTCTGTCTCCTTTTCTGTCTCCTTTTTTGTCTCCTTTTTGTCTCCTTTTGTCTCCTTGTGTCTCTAGCTGTCTCCGCGTGTTTCTTGCTGTCTCCTTTTGTCTCTTGCTGTCTCCTTTTGTCTCCTTTTGTCTCCTTTTGTCTCCTTTTGTCTCCTTTTGTCTCCTTTTGTTTCCTTATTTCTTATACTATGTCCTACTGTCTCCTTACATCTTGTGCTGTCTCCTTTTGTGTTACATTGTCTCTTGTTGTCTTCTTGTGTCTCCTTTTGTCTCCTTATCTCCTTTCCTCTCTCTTACTGTCTCCTTCTGTCCCCTCC